CTATCCAGCTCAGCGCTTTATGCAGAATTAGTTTGCAAAGAGGAAACAGACACAATAGTTAATAGTAAAATCCCCCTTAATGCAATGTAAGCTAACTAGCTTGAGCTAGAATAATTACATACAAGGCGAGGGGGACTTTTTCCTAAACTCGATCAGCCCAAACCCAAAGACTTTGCAGCCAAAGGACCCTATGCCGTGATGTATATTGCTTGAGAGAATCGTTAAGCATAAGGATCGATTTACGAAATACATTGAAGCGGCTGAGCAACTTGTTTGAAAAGTGGAAGAAGTGCGCCTTATGTGCATGAAATTAGAGTACTGAACACGGACAAATTTTCAATTTTTGGTCCTTCCCTCCACTAGCCAAAAATGAGACAAAAAAACTTACCTTCGCCCAGGAACAGCAGGCGGAATCATTGGAGGTGGGGTAGGTCCTTTTTTGAAACGACCTTTGGTACTGAAAAAATGGCAGCTTTGAGCCAAACGAAAACAGTCGAAGAAATCGTAAACTCACTCTTTATCTTTCTTCTTCTCTTCTTGCTTCTCAACCGGCACATTTGCAGACGGCTTTGATGACGTTGAAGATCCCGAATGTGGAACTGCAGAAGACTGTGGACGACCTTCCGGCCTTTTGGAGCTGCTCAGCGATGAAGAAAGTTTTGAGCTAGATGACGGTACTGGTTTCGAAGTGGATGATGACGAGGGTTTCAAACCGGACGAAGATTTTGGAGGTCTGCAAAACTGTCATCTTTGGATGCAATCATACACATCTGCAAGCATACCCAGTCGAAGTCCTATTTTTCTCCATAGGACGTGCATATTCTTCCCTATCACGGTCAGACTTCGGCTTCGCCGTACTGGATGAGCTCAGACTTCGAGAGCTACCGCTAAGACAAATCAGAATGAATAATCATCACAAAAAGACACAACGTATGAATCTATCTCAAAAGCAATAACATTTTATTCACCTCTGATCATTAGCAGGCCTCTTCGCTGCAGTGCGCTCCAGATCAATGCTGGTCTTCTTTCCCTCAGCAATGTCTTGTGCGGCTTTCATAAGTGTGCTGCACGTTTGAGAGTGAGGCAAAAAAGTAAAAAACAGAGCC